TTGTAATCTCCCTTCTTGCATTTCTGATTTTAGTGGTTTTTTTTTTTTTTTTGTAAGTTAATCTAGCTGATGGTTTGTCAATTCTGTCTATCTTTTAAAAAATGCAACTTTTAGTTTCCTTGATTTTTTTTCTCTATTGTTTTTTCCATTCTGTTCTGTTTATCTCTGATCTTATCTTTATTGTTTCCTTCCTTTTGCTAGCTTTGAGTTTAACTTCCTCTTCTTTTTCTGGCTTCCTGATATGTAAACTTAGGTTGTTGATTCAAGATCTTTTTTCTTTTAATGCACACATTTCTTTTAATGTACATCTTTATAGATATAAATATCCTTCTTTGCATGACTTTTGCTGGATTCTATAAGCATGTTTGCAATTTCATTGAGTCTCAGTGTATTATATTTTCCTTTTTATTTTTTCTTTTTTTGTGGCCAGCTAGCCCGCCCTGGGGGCAGGGCTGGCACAGCATGTGGTGCCAAGGATCGAACCTCAGTCCCTGCACTTGCATTAGCTTGCCTGAGAAGGCGCTTTAGACCACTGAGCTATCTCGCCGGCCCAGTCTCAGTGTATTTCTAATTTCCCCTGTGGTTGCTTAATGATATATTATTTAATTTTTACATATTTATAGATTTTCATTGTGTCATTGTTTCCTAGTTTCATTCCATTGTGTCTGGAAAAGGATTTCAGGTTTCTTGAATTTGTGAAGACTTGCTTGCTGGTGCAGCAGGTGGTGCTGGGGATTGAACCTCATTCCCTGTGCTTGCCTAAGCTTGCCTAAACAGGCACTTTAGTCTGCTGAGCTATCTCGTCGGCCCAGAGTGTTCTGTGCTTTTCCGTTAAGTGTCATTGTTTATAGTTTTCTTCAAGGTTTCTGTTTTCTTACATCCTTTATATGGTTGTTTTATCCATCATTGAAAGTGAAGTATTAAAAAAAAAAAAAAAAAGAAAGTGAAGTATTGTAATTTCCAACTTTTCGTTTATTAGTACTTATTTTTCTGTTCAAATCTATCAAAATTTGCCCCATGTATTTGGAAGCTCTGAGGCTTTGTGCATAATTATAATGTCTTCTCATTGACTTGGCCCTTTTGTCACTATACAGTGTCCTTGCTACTTGTAATACTTTTACTTTTCTTTCTTTTTTTCATGCAGGGGTTTGAATTCCTTGTGCATACTAGGCACATACTCTACCACTGAACTGCATCCTCTTCTTTTTCAATTAAAGTCTATTTTATTTGCTATAAACATGGCTATTCTTGTTTCCTTTTGGTTACCCTTTGCATGGTATATCTCCTTTCATTCTTTCCATTTTCAGTTCATGTTTCTTATAAATAGCATGTAGTTGGATGCCACTCTTTTTAGGCAACTTGATCAATCTAAATTTGTGTGTGGTACTGGGAACCAACCCTTAAGCCTTTTGCATAAGAGACAAATTCTTTACCACTGAACAATAGCCTCAGATCTTATGGTTTTTTTTTTTTTTACTTGGGGCATTTAATCTATTTTTGTTTAAAGCAATTATCAATGGAGAAGAACTTAAAATTGCCATTCTACCTGATAGCTTAGCAGACTAAGTGCCTGCTTAGGCAGGTGCAGGGCCTGGGGTTCAATCCCCAGCACCATATGCAGTGCCAGCCCCACCCCCAGGGCATGCTGAGATGGCAAATCAGACTGGGCGGGGTGGTGTGCACCTGTAATCCCAGCCCTTGGGAGGCTGAAAACAGGAGGATCACTGCGAGTCTGATCTGTGTAGTAAGACCCTATAGATCCTGTACTAAATACATAAAAAGAAATAAATAGTTAAATCTAAATGGTCCTTTAAAAAATTGCCATTCTATTGTTTTCTGTTTGTCTCCCCCTTTTCCCCTCCCCTGGTATCAGGACTTGAACTCAGGACCTCATGCCTGCCAGGCAGATGTTATGCCACTGAGCTATAACCCTAGCCCTGTTTTTTGTCTGTCCTATACCTCTTTGTGTTCTTGTTTTCTTATCTCACTGTCTTCCTTCCCATTTTAATCTCTTTTTGGTACTGATTACTAATTCCTTTCTCACATCCCTTTGTGTATACTCTATAGCTATTTTTCTTGTAGCTACAACTGCGATTATCTAAAATAACTTAAAGTTATAGCATTTGATTTTATATGGATAATAACCTTAATAACTTCCTTTACAGATTCCTCTCCCTCACCCCACTGTGTTATTAATCCATCAACTTATCTTTACATGTCTTATATCAATTAACATAGATTTTAAATTTTCTTTATGTTCTTATAATTTAACTCTGTGCATTGAAATTGTGATGGTATAGATTATTATAACTGTCCCTATATTTACTTTACTGGAGAGTTATCATGTGGTTTGTGTTGCTATTTGTCATCCTTTCATTTCAACCTGACACTTTCCTTTCATTATTTTTCCTTTTTTTTTTTTTTTTTTTTTTTGAGATCTAGTGGTAACGAAGTCCCTTCACTTTTGGTTATTTGGGAAAGGCTTAATTTCTCCTCCTCCCTGGCTTTTCTTTCC